TAAACATAAGAATTATGGATTAATTATAAAAATAGATCACAAAATTACAACTAAACAATAAAAACTTGTAGAAAATTTAAAGATACATGTCTTATATTCATAAATTTGTTATCGTATACTTATAAGAGAAGAGAAGTTACTATATGATACTTTTAATTTTTTTTAATTATTGATTTTTCTCTAATTATTGTACGTACTAAAAATTCTATACATTCTAAATTTAAGAGTGAATTTAGTACTAGTACTTTGTCCCAATATACACGATTGACTTTTAAAATTCGAAAAATATGGACTTTTATTTTTTATTTTATTTTTATTTTAAAATAACTCAAATAGATAGATATGTGACACTATTCAACAGACCTAAGTTGAATATTTTTTTTAAAAAAAGAAAAAGATATTAAATTGACTATTAAAAGTCAAATATTTGTGTTTCAAAGGAGAGAAGAAAATAAAGCATGCTTATATAATAAATATTACAAAATCTATAGATAGATACAAAGGAATAAACAATGCCGGCTTTCGTTGGTTAATTTGAGTGAACTTAAAAATGTACAAGTCAATATTAAAAATTTATGCATTAGATTCGAATATTATAATTATTATTTAAAAATAATTGATTTTAAAAGTCAAATATCTATATTTAAAAGATATAAAGGAAGAATACTAAATCGAAGCAAAGCTAACAAGGGTTAAGGAATTTTATCTGAATTTTTGATAGAAAACTATATTAGCTATATTTAATTAAAATTATTTGTTAAATATTATATTAGACGTGAAATCCTCTTCAACATATTATTTATTTACTTTTTTATATTTTAAACCCTCTTAATTAAAAAATTTTGATTTTGTCATTACACAAAGCATGACGATAAATTTTGGCAATCTCTATTCTCTTGATATCTAAATTAATGTCACAAATAATGCCGACTTTCACTAATTAATTTATGTCACAAAATAGAAAAGGAAAAATGACTTTCTAAATTGTACGTGTTTGATTACAATCAAGGGGGAAAAAAAACTAATTTAATCTCTACTTGTGTACAAAACATTTTTTCAAAAAAAAAAAAAATCAATAAAATCCACAAGAATTGAATTTAAAAAAATAAAAAATAAAATCAAACATTTGAATTTTCCAACTTGTGATAATCCAAATAATCCTCTATCTTTTCACCTTGATTATCATAATCACCATTAATAAGTTCTTTTGCTCTTCTTGCTTGATCTTCCCAATTAGTCTTAACCAATATAATTAACATCATAGTCACAGCACATGAACCTTGTGCACCTAATAATCCAAGCCATAATCCTTTAAAATCAAATCCCATATAAAAACTTAACCAAATTGCAATTGGCATTCCAATCAAATAAAAACATCCTAAATTAATATTAGCACCTAATTTTGGCCTAGCTGTTCCTCTTAACACACCACAGCCTGTTGTTTGTGGACAATTCCCAAGTTCACAAAGTCCAATAATAGGTAACACCATCGCGGTTAATTTCATAATTTCTTGATCGTGAGTGAACATTTTTGCCCAAATATTACGTACCAGAATAGCAAAAAATAAGGATGAGATACCCAAGACGAAACTTGTACATAGTCCAATAATAGCGGCTAATTTAGCGCGATTTGGACGATTAGCACCTAGCTCATTTCCAACTCTAGTTGATACACCAAAGCTTAATGAAGATGGGAAAATGTAGATTAAAGATGTCGTTTGGATTAAAATTCCCATTGATGCAACTGTTGATTGAGGATTAATTAAAATCCCACATAATAAAATCATAATTTCATACCACCACCACTCTAAACAAACACTAATACAACTTGGAATTGCTAAATTAAGAAGTGATCTCCATCCCTTAAAACACTCTAAAGAAATACCACACCAAGTTTTCTTGTAAATCTTTGAAGATATAATGTAAATTATTAATGATCCAACAAGATTGAAATTTGTCCAAACCCCACTTAATGCAACACCTTTAATCCCAAGATTAAGAATTTTGATTAAGAAATAATTAATTGGGATATGAAGAATGATTGCAAAAATAGCACAAAATGTTAAAGGCAATGTGATGGATTGTGAACGTAGATAAATCCTCAAGGGGTGTAAAAGTGATTGAGCAAAAAGATCAGGGAGTGAAAAAAGGATGTAGTTTTGTGCCATTTTTGCAATTTCATGATTTTGGCCACATAAAATCAAGAGTTTTTGCATAAATAGCCACAAAATTGAAATTGGAATTGAGGTTAAAAGTAGCAAAAGAATTGTTCTTTGTAATGTAAGGCCTAAAATGTTGAATCTTTTAGCACCAAAAGCTTGTCCACAAATTGGTTCCATTCCCATGGCTAAACCTGAAAGAATTGAATAACCGGTTATATTTGCAAATCCTATTGCAAGTGAACCACCAGCTAAAGAAAGTTCCCCTAAATGACCAAGAAAAATCATAGAAATAATTGAACGTGAATAAAGAATTAGGCCCGTAAATATCATTGGAAATGCAATTTTTCCAATGCATTTTGCTTCTAAAATTGCAAGTGTTAGATGGCTTTTTTGTTTTGGAATATTGTTTTCTTCCTTTTGATCTATCAAAGGACTCAACATACTTAACAACAAAAAAAAAAAATCAAATCCTAATTTGAGTATGATACAAATTAGATTTAATCTGATAAAATATCAAAATGCGTAGAAATTAATAACACTAGCAATGAATTTAGTACCCGTATTTTTCTTGAATTTGGTGACTTAAAAGGGTTTTTGAGGGGTTCAATATGTGTAGGCGTTGGTTGGCTTTTTATAAGTGGGAGAAATTATAAAAAAAAAATATTATTTTTATATCTTTCTAATAAGGTCGGCTTAGAGGAACAAAAATATTTTGGTTGACTAAGTTTTTTTTTTTTTTCCCAAATATAACCACCAAAAAAGTTACAAAGATTTTAAATGTTTTTACAATATAAAGTGTCGTTTATATAACCGACCAATTTAAAATTATGTCACTATTTGGCCTGCATGCATCAAAATATAGAGTCAAAAATTTCGAGAAAAATAAGAAAAATGATGATGGTTAGTATCATGTTTGAGTTTAATTTATTTTATTTTTTTTAAAAAAAAACATACAGTGTGTGTGGACTTTGAGAATTTTTTTTTAAAAAAAATACAGGGACGGTTATTTAATAGTGATAATTAATTAAAAATAATATTTGACTATTAAGGGAGGCAGGGACAATTTATGCCTGCCGTTTCAGTTTGTGAATTAATACATCCTTTGAATATTGGAAATACCAGTTACTCTATAAAGATAATAAATCAGTTTTATGACTATATATATTATATATATATAATATCATAATTATTACCGTTCGGTTATTATTTTTTACACCTCAAACATTAACATATAACCTTACATTATTTCGTTCTCGACTTTGGATCTTTGCACCCACCTCTGCCCACTATTCCATTTAATTCAAATTTTCGTGTCGTGTAGAATTCTTCATCATAAATTCAAAACTTCGTCCATCAATTTCATGACATTGCTCGAATATAGCTATGAAATAAATTCTAAAAGAAATTGGCCAACTTAATAATTAGGTTTAGTACCATAATTAAGAGAAAGGCAATTTGATCATACAAAGACAAATCTAAATTATTCGGTTAACTTGGACGTCTTTCAAAGTTAATTAACATGTACTAATTAGAATTCTATTACTTAATCATCCATTTAAATGAAATTTCATTAGCTGCCAATCTTTTTGTCTAATATAAATAAAATAACTTGCCCACTTTTGCCTAATATATTTAAATATTATTTTTGGTACATCGAATTTTGCCTAATATACTGCCAGTAGCAAAATTTTGAACAGAAAAATCCAAAATAAAACAAGAGAACTATTCTTTTTTGTCTTGTCTTAGAATTTTATGGTACGTAGAAGAAACTTAAGACAACAAATTAGATATAAAAAAAAAAAGAGAGAGAGAATAAAACAAAAAAGTATTCTCGTGCGGGTGAGTGAGGGGGTGGGGTATGGGTGGGCAGAATTTCAAAGAAACAGTTTGAGTTAATTGGTCTTTGTGTTTTTGGGGGAATGAATATGTGTGTCATGAACATCACTCTACTGAATAATTGTGACGGAACGATAAATATTTCTCAATTTTTAATTAATAGACTTGCGTGAAAGCTTAGAGCCCTTTTCGCTAGGTTCAAAAGCTTCTCAAAAAGATCTAATTCAACAGATATTCTATATTGAGCGTAGTTGATATGCGATTTCGACTAGTCGATCATTATCATTCTGTAAAATTATTTATATATGTATGGTATCATATACAATTTCATATAGATTAACTTTGAAAGCGATCATAAAAGCACTAATACATCAAATCTAATCAGAACTCCAAGATTAAGTATACTTGCGTGAGATCGGTATTACAAGCTATGATGGATGACCCATGAGACGCTGCTCGGATTGTAAGTATCCTTCACTTCCAACCTTGAGGTTCTATGTTCGAGTCATCAAAGGAGCAAAAAGATAGGAGCTCCTAGGATGGATTAAAGAAATAAAATAACATAATCCTTTTGGTAGAGAATTAATTAAAGATCATAGACACAATTATCTACTTGAATGAAATTTTCTGGTACAAATTCAAATTAGTCGACCTTCAATAGATATACGAAAAACAATAACTAAAAATGTGTATCATAAGTTCATAACATCTTATTATATACTATATACAGATTAAAAGTGTTGATCTAGCTAGACACATGTTCTTGTTAATAGGTTTCTAAAAAGTCCAAGTAAATCGTCGTACTCTAGCTACTTTATATGCTTTTATTAATCATATTAACCACTAGTAATAATTACTTTCTAACTAATATAACTATTCATAACTTAAATTATGTCCCAAATTACGTCCGTGATTGAAAATAATTAATTAAACGTATATACATGAATAACAATAATAATTTTTAGCGACAATAGATAATACACATTAACGAAGAGCGATAAACTTTTACTGACATTAGTTAATTGTCATTAGATCAAATGTTATTATAGACTTTACAAAAGTTTACAAAAGAATGTTAAGTGCCACTAAAAATATACTTTTAACGATAATTGAGATAATATCATTCATTAATTTGAAATCATCATTTTAAGTCATTATATAGTTGGACACAATTCGATTCAAAATCAATTTCAAATATATTTTCTCAGAAATTTGGTTTGACAATCTCATAGTCTGACTACTGCTTAAATGGCAACTACCAAATAGGTCATACAATAAAATATTATAAATAATCAAATGAGGCTGCATTATTAATTTCAATAATACCTTGTAGGATTTTTGAACAGTATTAAAAAATAAAGTTGTGTTTTACATGTAATAAACAGTAATATTATTTACTCCTAAAGAAATGTGATACTTATGTGAAATAAAAAATTAAAGTCCAATATTTGAATAAGTGAATACATTCCCCTTGACATAAAATTTTATTATTGACAGTTGCCAATTATAGAAAATTTGTAGGTAGTACGATTTTAGGAACTAAAACAGTAACTTTAGATAGTTGTTAAAAATTCAATGCCAAAAGTTTTTTTTTAAAAAAAAAAAAGGAAAAAGAGAGAACGACAATGAAGGAATTACTTCGAGTTTAAATTTTATACATTACTGATGTAAAATTTATTAGATATAATTAGGTTTTAAAAAAAATATACTTCTAAAGAAAATATTTATATTGATTAGCGATAGTACATAATACAGTATTTAATAAGAAACTCAAATCCTACTCAAAAATGTATATGGGTAGGTGTAAATAGTAGGGAGGTATAAAAATGAATTGAAAAATTTATAGATAGCAGATTTGCTCTTGAACAAGAGAAAATTTGTTAGCTCATAATAACGATTAATAATCAAAATATCAATATCTTAAATTAATTTAAATCAATATAAACTTTAAATTCGAATAAACCATTACACGACCAAATTTATTTCCTTTAACTGATAAATTTTAACTGATTCCGAATAAAACAAAAAGGACAATTATAATGGCAAATAATTAAAAAACAAACACAAGTAAAATCAAATAATTAACGCAGACATAAAACTAGAAACAAAAAATATAAAAAAAAACTAAATAACCTAACGAAATCTACTTATTCCATGCTTTAAACTTGTTTTTCCACCACGTCCACTTGTGATTGCGAATTATTTTCTGTTGATTTTTTCGTATCGTCATTTTTTTCAATGGTAACATATTTTTTCCAATACCAATGTTTACTCCAAATTGCACCCATATCATCAATTGGAATCCCTTTCGTTTCTGGGAGGAAGAAATAGATGAATAATGTCATGATCGCGACGAAAAACGCGAAAAATAAGAAGAGTCCAAACTTGAAAGAGCATAGCATTGCTGTGAAGATCTCGGCAATGAAGTTGGTGAAAATCATGTTGAATGACATGTTTACGGCTTGACCAGCTGGTCGGACCTCAAGGGGGAAAATTTCACTAGGGACTAACCACCCTAGTGGACCCCACGACCACGCGAAACCCGCCACGTATATGCAGATGAATGTCACAACAAATACTGCGTACCATATTGGTAATTTTCCTGGATCGCCACTTGTTCCAAACTTTAGTGCAATCGAAATCGATATAACAATCTATAATAAAAAAAAAGATTTAGTACTAACAATATTCCAATATAGTGAACTGCGAGTTCCTTATGATATGCAATTGGAATATGTTCTTGCTAAAAAAGAGGACAAAAAGGGGTTATTCGGAAAAATATATTTTCCCAACACGAAGTTAAATGAAGGTTCGTACACAAATCAACTAGTAATCACTAGTCTGAAAAAATACGTTCTTTCGCGTTCATAATATGCAACTAAATCACATTCTTGCTGAAAAGCAAAAAAAATTAGGGGGGTGCGGGTCTTAAATGAAAATTATTTTCCCAACACAAAGTTAATTGAAGGTTCAAACAAATCAACCAAGAATGACTAAGGTTAAAAATTAAGTTTTACGAGTTTGCTACAATACACAACTAAATCACATTCTTGCTATAAATGGAATAAAATTGATTTCATGAATGAAAACTATTTTTCAGTACGAAATTTTATTGAAAGTCAACACTAGTCGACCAAGAATGACTAGTTTTTAAAATTAAATTCGTCAAAAACTCAATACAGTAAAACAACAGAAAAGTACCTGACAGACAAACATTTGTATGCCACCTTCAAGAAACAAAGCTCTCCTTCCAACTCTATCAACAGTAAGAAGTGAAACAAAAGTAGCAATAAAGTTGACAAGACCAGTAATGACAGCAGACATAAGTGAAGCAGTGTCTCCAAAACCAATAGTCTTAAACAGAACAGGCGCGTAAAACATGATAACGTTCATCCCAGTTAACTGTTGAAATGTTGGAATCAACATAGAAAATATCAATTGTGGCCTATACTGTTTATTTTTCAACAAATTCCTCCAAGGACTTTTCACTTGTTTTGATCTTTCACTTGCTTCAACCAAATCATTGAACTCAGCATCAACATTGTCAATTCCCCTAATTTTCATCAACCTTGATTTGGCTTCGTCCCCTTTACCACGTTCAATTAAAGAATTTGGTGTATCGGGGAGGATAAACGAACCAATAATGAATATCAATGCGGGTACAACTGCACCCCCTAGACTCAAACGCCAACCCCACCCACCTTCTATTTTCGCGAAAAAATAGTTCAGAAGATTTGCTGCAAAGATTCCAACTGTGATTGAAAGTTGAAAGACTGTGTTCAATGCTCCACGATACCTATAGGGTGCCATTTCCGATAGGTACACTGGCACAGACTACAATGTGAATTTATTTAAAGTGTCAGCATATATAACAAACAATGATTATGTGTAGTTAAATAAAGTGAATTGATATACTCCTTGTTCTATATTTGAGCTATTCTATAAAGGTAATGATATATCTGAGCTATTTGCATTTGGGCCCTTCGTAGAGTTAGGGTATAACAAATCATTTTTCAATGATAAAATGGAATTTTAAGAAAATCTAAATAAACAACTTAAACTAAAGATAGACGTCATAGTATATGTTTAATCCATGTATAACATGCGTATAACTATGTATATTATGTATATAGTAATAATCTATGTATATCGGCTAGAAAAAGTATACCTGATTAGCGAAACCGATACCACAACCAAGAAGGATTCTACCAATAATGAGCATAGCAACATTTTTGGAAAATCCATTGACAATAGCACCAATTAGGAAAAGAACTCCACCAGAAAGCATAGACATTTTTCTTCCCATAACTTTAGTTACTATTGAAGCAGCCCATGAAGCAAAAAGTGCAGCCAAATATAGAGATGATGTAAACATTGTTAACTTTGGGCTGTTGAATTTGCAATATTGATTTGTTGATACTGTGAGTAGTACTTCTTTTGCATATACATCAGGAAAAAACTCCTCCAAAAATGAAGGCATTGATGTCACTCCCCCTAGTCAAATTAAAAAATTCACACAAATGTTAAATATTTTTCGTCGTAATCGTAAGTATATAAAAATATTTATACAATCAGATTAGTAACTAGTTACCTAACAACTCAGGGGCAAGATATACCCTACCCCGACATACATTAGGCGGATATATCTTGCACCAAATGATGTCACAACATGACATGTGTATATGCGAATTAAGTAAATAGTAATACTGTTTCCGAAAAATTCTGTGTGCACCACTGTAACACAATTATACGAAATTGAAATGAATAAAAAAATATAATAGAAAATTATATTAACCTGAAATTCCAATGTCATAACCAAAGATTAAACCACCCATAGCAGCAACAATACAAGTAACTAAGACTTTAGATGTGAGATTTCCCGGATATGCCTTGCCATTTGTTGGCCCTATTCCACCACCTACTGCCATTTTTTTCTTCTTCTATTTCTTTTTTGTGTTATACTTTTGAAGTATGAATGAAACAAAAATTAAAATTTATAGACTCAAATTTTTGCCCTTAATACTCTTCTATTGTTATGCTTATTATAAGGAGTTTGTTTCTTTTCAAACAATTCCATTATACAGATTTTATCTCATGTTTTAGGATAGCTTAATTTTCGAGTTTTTTGTTTTTACTTTATTTTGATTTAAATAGTGATTTTTTTTTTTAAAAAAAAAGAGTTATTATTCCTGCAGAATTCTATCACGTACTAGAATAAGTAAAAAATAATTTTAAAAAAAATACTTAGAATATCTATTTGAACGTTGCACAAGTTTTATTCAATCCAAATATATTTATCTATTTAGCAATTATATTTTGGAAACTTACCTAAATCTCACTCGTTTAGGAGCTTAGATACATTATATTTAATGATATTACTTATTTTATCAGATTTTAGTGCCTCCTGATACATATCTTGGATTTATGGCATCAAAATTAGATATAATTTATTCTAGAGATACATTATATCCAACTTTCAAGTGGATTCGACCGTATTGAATTATACACAACAAATCTCACTCGCTTCCCTCGTCTCTCTCACATATATCTTGGATCACTACAAATACATACAAATACATGTACATAGTGCGATTTTCATGTATTTGGCATACATACAAATCTCGTTTGCATCCCTTCCTAATCTCGCTCCCCACCCCAACCCCTCCCCTTTCTCAATTAATGTATATCTAATAGGAAAAAGTACATGTATCTAAATGTATTTAAACTGTTAATTAGTAATAAAATGTATAATATATGAAAGTATAAATAATAATAATATATATAGTAATGATTGATGTATAATTACATAGTTTCCATTATTTTCACAAGTCGAAACAGTTCCTAATATATATTCTTGTATGTTAATATCTAGAATCTAGATTAGATAGTAATTTGATTAAGATATATATACATTGACCAAAAAAAAAAAACACTTTATCGATGTAACCTAACCTATAAATTATAACAAGAAAACTTTATTCCATGATTTTACCAATTTATTAATACATAATACATAATGAAATAGGTAATATGAAAATACGCATTACATAAATGTAATATTTTGTATAACATTGTATATATTCGTAAAAAGAATACACCTCTTAAAGGTATTTATTCCTCATTTCATTATTAGGCTTCTTGAAATTATAGTAATGATAAACTTTAAATCGATACTTACATAAATATACCACAAATATATTTATCATCTATAATAATAATATTTTTTTCACTTTAACATTTTAATATATTTATAATACATTTTTAATTCATACAAAAAAATAATTTATTATTCACATATAATATAAATTTTATTGATGAATAATACATTTATCACACATTTTAATACTTATAATACAAAGTGTCAACTTCTTACCAAACAAACATAATATATTTTAAAAATAATTATAATACATATATATTGTATAAGTAATTTACTTTTAATGCATATTGCAAATTTAACATAATATTACTATGAATGATAATAGATAAAAAGTATCTAAAAATCAGTAAAAAAATTTATCAAAAGACATTCATCCAAGTAACTTTTTCAAACTTTAAAATAATTTGAAAATTCATAAAACATTCTACCCAAATAACTATTCTACGTATTATTTTTAATTCAGTTTTTGGGATTTGCGACCCTCCACCTTATCCAATTCACACAAAACGGCAATGCTAAACTAATATAATATCTCAAATTAGTATTCCTCAATTTATCAGAATAATTAATTGATATGTTAGTTTTTATATTTATTTATTTATCAGAATAATTAATTGATATGTTAGTTTTTATATTTATTTATTTATTGAAGGAAAACTTATATTATACGGATTAAAAACTCCAATATAATGGTATGTTTCTTGAAGTATTTGTACTTTTTTCTTTCATTTTAAGGTCTTTAATTGGTTTTAACTCTCCAATAAAATTTATTGTTTGAATCAATAAATATAAATGTTTTTTATCATTTCATAGTTGGTATCAATTCAAGAGCATATTAGTAATATAGGTATATGAGAAGATGTTTTATTTGTTTTATTAACATAGAGACTTATCTTGTTTATTCAATTGAAAAGAAAACAAATTGACACATTTCTTAATATTCTGATTAATTGTATCAATAAAGTTAAATTTTTAAGATAAAATTAAATTTGTGTTTATAGTAAATTGAAAAGAAAACAAATAGACACGTTTCCTAATATTCTGATTAATTGTATCAACTATGTCAAATTTTTGAATTGTGAGTTGAGTTACAATCATGGATAAAAATAAAATCTATTGAAATAGATTTGTTTTAAATTTTTTGTTTACGTAAATAATCAAGGACTTATTTCTTGTTATTTAATTTGAGTAAATATGAGAATTCGGTCTGAATTTTACCTCTCATTTGTTTGATACATAAAAAACGATACATAAGTTATGTATCATATATATAAGTTATGTATCATATAGATAATTATAAATAGATTTATATTGAATTAGATTTAAATTAATCAAGGTTATGTTATTACACAAATCAAGTTATAATATATAAAGATAGACTGATGTATTCGGATAAATATGCAACCTAGGTAAACTTAAACTTGGATAAATATTGGACTAGTTTTAATTTAAAGACAATCATATTAAACTATATGACTGAATGTCTAGATATAAAAAGAAAAGATTTTATTTTTATCTATATTTAGAAGATTCAACCAATGATCAAATATAATCGAACAATACTATTTTTGTTTCTATTCATACCGCACAATATTGTTCGAAGCATATTCAATTGAACATCATTTTAACTCCCTTTAGCTCTATAGCCCCGTCGCGAAAGTTGATAAGGTACACTAAGTGATAGTTAACTTATATTCGTTACTCTTTATAAGTAAGGTACTTACATAACATGTACGAGGTACTTTTTAATAAATAATACGTGAAAATATCATACGTTACCCTTTGTAGTTAATGCATCTTGTTGCACGTACCTAGTCGATAGTCATGTCATGATTGGTACAACTTAATATTAACAAAGAAAAAAGTGTGTTTTTCTTAAGATACTTTTATTATCCTTATGACCCACAATGTGACAATTATGGGACCAAAAATTGGTTTCTCTAGTGTTTTAGTTAGGTTATGGCTATGTCGAATTGACATGATAAATTGATCATTACCTATATCAAAACGAGAGTACTTTGTCATAATTTATATGATATCGTACGGATTATAAAAATAATTTCTAATTTTGATTTTATTTTTTTAAATAAGGAAATTTATAGTCGATGTTCTTTGAGTTGTGTTTTAGGTAAATCCTCTTCAGTATAATAACTGTAAACAAATTTATAAATTATTGAGCTTGATCGAGAAACGCATGCACGTGATATCAAACCCAGGAAACCCCTCTCCCTTCGCCCCCCTTTTATTTAAAAAAAATTAAACAGGAAATCTGCATTTGTTATCCTTCACATGCACTTGGAATGTTATAAATTTGAGTACGTATTTCTTGATCTTTTTTAAATTTAATTATATATTAAAAAATTATGATAAAAATATTTTTAAATTAAACTACCATATAAATTGACATTGTAAAAAATCTTATATAGAAATATTATGTAAATAATTTTATTTGACTTTCGGAATTCAAATCACGGAAAGTATTTGATACGTTTGAGATACCCACGAGTCACAAGTTTGAAACGTGACAACTTGTTGTAGCCATTAATATTGATCAAGTAAAAGGCCTTGTTGGTTAATTCTACACCATTAAATATCTTCTACCAGACCACAAACAAATGTTATTATTTTCTCTCATACTGTAGCAAATTAGTTATAATATACAAGTTTTTATTTTTTATTGGGAAAAAATGGCATCTTTTACTTGTCTCTGCAAATTTATTTATATTTAATCATATAATTAAACGTTATATTTGGGCATAAAAAACGTAAGAAACAGTTGATTTTCTACAAGTTGGAGTCTATAACCTATGGTCTCAACTCTCATGTATGTATATTACATGTTTTTATTTTAATGTTTTCATTTCCTCATTTTTAAACGAAGTTAAAGATTGCCTTTTGTAGGCGATGAAATGGAGAAGAATTATGAAGTTTCAAAAATTCAAATTTTAACGAATATAAAAAAAAATTGTTAGTAAACGATTTATTCTTATTTTTCCAAGTTTTGATGAGTAAGATTATTATATATCTATGTTGATTTTAACAAAATAACAATACACATATATTATACATATAATCTTGGGTGAATATAGATCAATTGCTCGAACTCTCAATTAAAAAAAATAAATATATTGTTGAAGAATTATTTATATACTTTTTTAAATTATATGTATTTGAGGAATTAATTTGAAAAATAATAAAGATATACAAGAATAAAAGTAAATTATAAATAATATATTAGAAGAAAAAAATAATCGAAAGGATAGGGATATGAAAGAAATTAAAATCATTAATATGACCCTATGATAAGCTCAATCTAAGGCATATATTAGCATCATTATGAATAGCAACGTTGTCTTTAAATTGTCTCCAACAATATGAAACTTTACCCCTTTCCTTTTCTTACTACCGAAGAAAAAACTCCATTATAGTTCCGTCCGTTTTAAATTATTTATTAATATCAAAAAGTCAAATTATATAAAAATATTTTAATTTTATAGCACTAGTGTAATTTTAAGTTATTTTAATTTTAATTTTATATGTTAAATCAATCAAAAAATTTCAAATTAGCATAAAAAAAAATCATCAAGTTAACTTTAAAAAAGTGAAAATTTATGACAATTATTTTGAGAAAGTGCGAGTGTTTGTGTTTTACTATAACAAACAAGCAAATTTCATCATCTTTTTTTTTTTCTAATTAAAACAAATATAACAATTTCATTGGACGACAAAATTGTTAATTTCACCAGAAGGTTCGAGATATGAATTTCTTTTTTTATAAATACACCAAAATAGACAATGAAATACAAAATCTACTACTCCTTCGTTCCATATATATTCGATGAGCACTTATTATTCTATGCGGTGAATAAAGGTGAATAAGAAATCGCTAATAAATTGATCAATTTTATTATTCTGTCCTATATTCATGTTAATTAGATTATTGAAAAAAAAAATTTTGAATCTTGTAAAACTATTTAAACTTCCAAAGATCATATTAATTATAAGGATAAAATATATAAAAAAAAAATTATCACAATTTATTAAGTAATTAAACAATATGAACAAAGACTCTTAATAAAATATCCATCAAATATAAAATAAAAAAATATTTCTTAAATATACAATACAATTTTTCATCACTAACTTGCTCCCACTTTGGCTCCACCCTTATAATCAATGTATTAGAGAATTATAACTGGTTACAGCATGTAAATGGATTTAGACATATAATAGTAGACAACAGCTAAAGCTAGCTAGTTTAATGTAGTACTATATATATAATATAAAATACGTGTGCAAAAATATTATTAACTTTAGTAAAACCATATAGTAGCAAATTATCCACGAATTCCCCACGCTTTCACTTTTTTCTACTCATTAATATTCAATACTATGCACCTATATTTTTCTTCCCTTAAATACCAAACTCCACATTCTCCAAACTTCAACTACGAAAATACCCCCTACCACCCCACCCCCCTATAGAAATCTACATATACATACACACACACAAAAAAAAACATATATATATATGGCTGACTCTCAAAATTCTACCAAGTCCACCCAAATAATTCAACCTCCTAATCAATCAAGTGAAAGTACGAAAATACCCTTCAACACTACCCTTCCTCCACCACTACCACCGTTGCCGCCGCCTCCGGCGCCACCGGAGACACATATTCAAATAACCAATACATTATCATCAAAATTAGAAAACACAAATACAACTCCAAAAACCGTTATTATTCCAACTGCAATCATGAGTTCCACCTCATCGAGCGGCTTGGGATCTCCGAGCCGCTCAATAGGCGGAAAACATGCGGTATTCCGCGGAATACGATGTAGGAGTGGGAAATGGGTGTCAGAAATTCGAGAGCCACGTAAGACTACGAGAATATGGTTAGGTACTTATCCTACACCCGAAATGGCTGCTGCTGCATACGACGTCGCTGCAATGGCTTTAAAAGGAAACGACGCCGTAATTAACTTTCCCGGTAATATTAATTCGTATCCTTCACTCCCTCCTTCGCCCGCCGCGGCGGATATACGAAAAGCTGCTGCCACCGCCGCCGCCCTGATGAAGATTGAATCCGGAGAAACCACCTCGGGAACTCAACCAGGTAAATATATTCACATGTGATACATTCATCTGAATTCAGTATTTTCGATACAGAAATACATATGAACTTAAATTTATGTATATTGACAATGTAAACAATTTTTACAATATATATAAGTATAACCTTACATATATGATTCTTAAAAATTGTAACAGTGAAATTTAAATTCGAAATTCGTCTTTGATTCTGAATTCAGTATTTCAAAAGTATAGAATGATTGTAGTATTGAAGAATCGTGGAAATTCAACGAAACTATTTAAATTCTGAATCCGTCTCTCTATCAGGTACGGATGATCATCGGTCATTGGGGAATGTGCATATGATGGAAACTAGGGATCATGAATACATTGATGAAGAAGCATTATTTGATATGCCTAATTTGCTAGTTGACATGGCGGAGGCAATGATGGTTAGCCCTCCAAGAATGAGCTCACCGCGGTCTGATGATTCACCAGAACATTCTGATGCAGAAAATCTATGGAGCTATTAAAACAAATGAATCCATGGAATTTAATTTCATTCTTATAACTCATTTGAGAACCCACCACCACGTACATAGAGAGAGAGACATGGTTTATACATGTATCTTGAAGATTTTTCAATGTGAAAATGGGAGTTATTTTGGATGAGATAAAGTTTGGTAAAAATTTAAGAAGGGTTAATTAATCTAGGGTTTTTGTTTGTCATGAGTAAATGGAGTAGTTTTTGTACTCCATATATATATAATTCTTTTCATTTGAGAAAATCTAAAGATTGAGATATGTTCAACTCAGTTTTTTCACTCTTGTATTTTTCAAATTCATTTTGAAAAACATTGTTTTTATAGTCTAGATTTTATCGGAATTCAGAAAAAGCTTTTCTATCCGTCAATTGAAAGTATAAATAAGGTTTGTATCCCCTGGTTTCGAGACAAAACCTTACATATAAAACCATACTGAATATGTTGTTAACATGTGTGTCTGTTAATTTCTTGTAGGTGATATGAGTATTTTTTGTTCCATTTTAAAATAAAATTAAAAAAATATATAAAAAAAAGATCCTATAGATTAAAAGGGTACTATATTATTATATTAAGATGTGGCAAATAGGGTTTTGGTCAACTTTTTGAATGAGGAATGAAAAAAAAAAAGCTCTTAAATGATAATGCTTGTAAAGTCTTTCCCCAATTGTCTTTTCTTCCTTCACTTTCCTTCCTTTTGTGTTTTCTTCTTTTGGAGTTTTTCTTCTTCTTTGGTGTGTGTGTTTGGGGGGAGGGAGGGAGGGGGGGGGGGGGGAACATGATGGTTTGTCATCAAAGGTAAAAAGATTTAAAACTATAGAAGCTTTGCAATAGGTAATAATAAGGAATTAAGAGTTCCCACTTGTTTCAAATTTCTTACTTTTATCGTGTTATCTTTAAGGTATTATTTGAGTCGAATAATGTATGATAATAATTTTTCAAGAAGGCTTATCCTAATATGTATGCATTAATAATGACGAAAGCTAAATCAAGATTCAATTTTCATTTAAAAGAAAATCAACTACATGTGATTTTTATACATTGAACAATAAAAATCTTACTTACGTTGATCATCTTATTTAATTAAAGATTCTTGATTTTAATATCAAAAGTAAATAATAATTAGTGAAAATTAAAGACATTTAGAAGGTGGAAGGATATGGGAGCAATCACAATCTTGAAAAACGTCTTGCTTTTATTTGGAATGGGAAAACGTGCTTAAAGCCTAGTCTAGCGGCTTTCTTTGCCTAATATTGAAAATTGACCCTATCTATCATCAGTATATATATATATATATATTAATTATTATTAAATATATATTTTAAGCGGTAAATAGTTGTAAATATTTCTAAAATTTATAGTAATATTAAATTCAATAACAATTAATTAATGACAGTAAGATTTCAACATTCTTTATTGATGAACATATTTATTATCGTTAAAAGTTATTTTTGTTATTTAATTTATCCACTTTTAATTGTTATAATTTCTTTTATAGAGTAAAATTATAAGAAATTTAACTAATATTTTATGATGTATTTTTTTTATCACATTTATATGCAAAAAGATTATAATCTATAATACTTTTCTTATGATTTTTGAATATATATTTTTTATTTAAAATATCGAATTAATAAATTTAATTTAACTTGACAAATTAATTAAATTGATTTTTGAAAAACGTAACCTAAGTATAATGACAATTGTATTAATTCAGTTTATGAAGACAGCCATATTGCGACTCTCCTTCATGTCAACCAGATTTTAATTAATGTTTTAATGGGACAATGGTGGCCCCAAATAGTAATTGGTGCTAATTATACACATCGTTGTATATACTCTAATATTTCAAGTGGAATAATATCGAACGTATCTTTTTAGATTTTAACTTTTTGTATTCAATATTGTCAATAGGGTTTAATCAATTTTAAATTTATATACTGCAAAATTTATTTTTAGAAGTGATACTTTTAATTAAAAAAAAGAATTATTCACAGGAGTTTAAATCTAAAACTAATGATTAAGTATGTATAGTAGATCTCAATTATCCAATCACAATTTGTGTTGATTATCTTTTTAGATCTCAATTAAGTATATGTACTATATCTCAATTATCCAATTTACAATGTTGAATATCTTTTCATGCCTCAATTGAGACTTGTAAGTAGCTAGGCTTAGCTTCCGTAGATAGTAGGATTACTATGGTTAGCTTAAACAAATGCTCTAAAAATTATTTTCGTTATTGCGCTTGCCGTGAAAGAGTAAGATGTTGATTCTATAGCAATTCTGATTCCTTCACCGATAACAAGAAGGAAGTCTTATAAAACGAACAAACGAACTGAAGTATATAGTGAAAATTACGATCAAATTGATTGATGAGTCCAGCGAACAGAACGATTATCTTTTTAAATATTACAAATTTATATGATAAGGACTTCTATTATTAGTGTCATACATGTACCCATAGACCTTTTAATTTACTTTGTTGGAAGGTCGTAGTTATTATTTTTATATAAATAGCTAGAGAGACTATATAGTAAACTAATTAATGACAAGACAAAGATATATTGTGTGGCTAATGTTTGTTCTTGCATCAATCCAATCTGGTTTAGTCAATCATTTCACCAATTATTTGAAAGAAGAGATCTAGTTTCTCTCTCTAGCAGTGATCTTTGGATAATCTAAACTAATTAAATTTGTTTAACTTTAATCAATTCCAAGATTATTTCGGATCAATTTACGTATATTTTAACTATTTTATTGAATACTAACTATCTAATTGTATCAAACAACTCTCTTTAGCATCGTACTTTTGCATATAAAAATTCGTTACTTAAAGTTATCTCAAACCATCTTATCTGCACCTTGATTATTCTATTAAATACTGAATATTTTACTTTCGTCAACAAAGTATCGAGCAACTCTATTTAACACCAGGCTTTGACACACAAAAAGAAATCAATTAAAGTTTCTTATTGACTATCAGGTCACACTTTTTCTCTTGCTCTTAATTTGCACCCTCTCAGTTTTAAATTAGTTAGCATGTTTTGCGTATCGAAAGTTAGTTTAACTAATTTATCAAGTTGGATAAGATCATACCAACTCAATAATTTACAATTACAATTTAGATGGTAAAAAATTATACAGAAGATACTACAAATTTCAATAATGTACATTTCAAAATGTATAACTTTTTTGATAAAACGAAATATAACAATTAATATAAGACGAAGAGGAGTATACATATTATATTACACATTACTTAGTTGTAATACAAGAGAGATTGTATACGTACTCAATGATTATGCACAACCATCTTTGTCTAAGGGAGTGCAAATATGTTAAAAAGAAAATTAAAAAATTACCTATATATATTCTATATGTTGAATTACATTAATTTTTGTTTATTTTTTTAATATTTTGTTTCGTCTTAATAAAAATATCGAAAAATCCGACAACATTTATGTGTGCCATGAGACTTCGTTATCAGTTATCAGTTAGTCTTCCGACACCCCTTTTGCATATGTCCACAAGCCAAGTATCTCTTGCGTGAACTACTACATATAGAATGACTATGACTTGATTAATTGCACAAATCGATAGAGGCGGAGCTAAAATTTGTTATTTATTATTTTAAAATTTATAATTTTTCAAAAAAGTTATTATATTGAGTTTTAAATTAACAATCTTTACGTATTTGATAAGTTTTTAATATAAATAAAAATTACTGAATTCAATCGACCTACCCCTACCGAGAGCACGTAGACTCTAACTCCACCGTGAAAACCGGAGTATTGGTGGCATTAATAAATGCGATTGTGGTACATACAAATTAATATCTGGACATGAGTGTCCATATACTAATAATTATATGGAAAGAAAAATTACAGATAAATGTTTATAAATAGTGTGATGTAAAACTCTTAAAATATAAGACATACAATTTTTTGTAATAATGATATAGTGTGAATACATTAATTTTGGAATTATTGAAGAAAGTGATTATCTTATTTTAAAGAAAAATATTATTAGAGAGATCACATTTTAGTTTTTTAAATTACTTTTTTAATATGTTATTTTCACGTGCGAGTTTGATTTCATGTGAAGTCTATAAAAAGATAAGAGTAGATGACAATGAGATTTAATTTTTGACTAGTTGATTATGCTAATATGATATTAAATTGAAACAGAAAAATTGATATTGGATCTATACAACTCGACTCTAATAGTTAGGTGAAGAGGCAATATTTGCTCAAACCATATTAAAAGACCATCCCTTCACCTTCGATGTGAGACTTCTCCAATCACACTAGAACATTTGCAATGTATTGTCTATAATTGGAGGCTTTAACATCGGAAAATAAAAATTAAGATAAATCCTATATTAAAATGTATGATTATTTCTTCTAAAATTTAAACTATCAAGGAGAGATACATATATTTATTTTCTTAATTATATTCTCGAACACTAATAAATCTCATTTCTCAACCAACTCTTTCTTTCTTTTTTCGTAAAAGTAGGTTCAAGAAACTATATAGTAGGCTAACAACAAAGTTAATTTTGAAGATAGAATAATTTTAGGCCCACCACATATATAATTGAATGTTGACACAACATAAATTAACAAACCTATATTATTAAGTAGATATATCAAACATGAACATCCAAAAATAGGAACTGTAGATCAAGAAGGACACAATTAGGTTAACTTCATTAATGTATTATTATTGTCATTATAAATATTTGTACGAAAATGTTTACATGAGGTCGATGCCTTTGTCCTCATGATGATGACATGTTTAGTGTTGATCCTTATCATGTTTAATAAAAAAAACATAGGGGTTGAGTATAATTCATACAGATAATTGTAGTGTTTAGGTTCGTTTGTGCATGTATATACAGAATAGTTGTTATCTCTCATCAATATCAAGTAACTTTGTTTATTAAGATTTGAACATACTGAAGTCAATTATATTATAATAAACTTGTCGTATAAATTAAAACAATGAAAGCAAACATGCTTATGAGTTAATAATATTGAATATACCCCCTATAAGCTAGAATATCAAACCTTATCATTAGTTGAAATTTGTCAACCTTTTAAAAAATGATACATTTAACTTTCAATTAATCTAAACAATTATTACTATCGTTTGAAGAGTATGCTCAAACGTGAAAAAAGAAACTCTAAAATGCATGTCACATGGGTCCTAAACCTGATCAAAAATCACAATTGAGTTATTAATTCTTATGTATCAACCGTGTTAATTAAGAACATTAGTAAGTCACTATCATGAAACTCATATATCAAACTCGGCGGTGGTCGACGTATAAAATT